TTGCCGTTCGCCACGAGACGGGGTTTCAGACAGGGCGACTCTCTTTCATGTGACTTCTTTAATCTGATGTTGGAGAAGATAATAAGATCTGCAGAACTGAACCGCTCAGGAACAATTTACTACAAGAGCGTACAATTGCTGGCTTATGCCGATGACACTGACATCATCGGTAACAAAAACCGCGAAGCTTGTCCTGGCCTTTCCAAGTTGGACAAGGAAGCAAAGCGAATGGGTCTGGTGGTAAACGAGGACAAGACGAAGTATACCTGTCATCAAACAAACAATCAGCACATTCGTGCCTTGGCACCCGCGTCACTTTTGACAGTTATAATTTCGAGAAAGTACAGAATTTCGTTTACTTGGGAACCAGCATTAACACCGATAATAATGTTAGCATGGAAATCCAACGCAGAATCGCTCTTGCCAACAAGTACTGCTTTGGACTGAGTAGGCAATTCAGGAGTAAAGTCCTCTCTTGACGTACCAAAACCACACTATAAATCACTCATCATGCCCGTGCTGGTATATGGCGAATTAAAATACAGCGGCTCAACTGGATTGACCATGTCGTTTGAATGGACACCGACGCCCCAGCTCTGAAAGTATTCTGGCTTCACTTGGCATTTCCAATTGGCGTCAGTTGGCCAAAATCGCTTTGGCGGTTACAGCGCCAAATAAGAAGAAGAAGAGAATAGATCTATAACCTTATCAGTCACACAGTGTTATAATCCCCACGAAATCCTTGACGGTGGTACCAAATAGTAACTAAATTGATAGCCTTGCAAGACCCAATAGTAACTTCAATCAAATCAAACCGTTTTCTTAATTCCAACTACTCTATTGTGTACAACAAATTTGCAGACATTTTTGATGGTGTTGATGTAATTCCCCGGCATGTACCAGCCACCAACTTCAACAACCCTCACTCGAAAGACTGACATGACAGTGGAACGCATAAAAACCCAACATGCGTTAATTGTGGAGGACTATTTGGACAGAAACTATACCATCATGTACACTGATGCATCTCTATCTGAAGACAAAACTGGCTGTGGAATCTTTATTCTAAATACAAACGCTGGATACTCTTTTCATACTCCCTTCAAATCGTCGTCTGCTTTCGGTGAACTGCTAGCCATAGAGGAAGCAATTGACATAGCCACTCACAATGAATATTTCTCCTTAGTCATTTTTACTGATAGCTTAATTTCATGTCAAACTCTCAAAAATAGAAAATCCAACAATAGTATAGCGGTAAGAATACACAACAAGATAAGCCAGAACCTCTTTCGCAGTGTACAAATTAGATGGATTCCCAGTCGCAAGAATATACCAGGTAATGACAAGGCGGATGAGCTAGCCAAAAAATCGATCGAACTCAATAGCAGTAAAACAGTTAAACTAAAAATTGACGAAGCATGCAAACTGACTAAAAATAGGATATAGGATGAATGTTATAACAGTTTTTTAACTTATTCAAATTCCAACAAAAATATTTTCGCTACTACTTTTCCTACAAGAAGAAGTACTACGTCGATCAAGAAGCTCAAAATAGCCCCAAAAGAAATCAAAACTTTGAATAGAGTCCTTATGGGACACACTTACGACAAGCCATTCCTTGTCAAGATCAAAGTGCTGAACTCGTCTCTATGTCGCTGCGGAGCTCCGGATGGCTACGAACACCAAACTTTGCACTGTCGTTTTTTATCCACTCTTAGATCCAGCCACGAAGTCTTCGAAGCATGCAATTTTGGGAAATCTTCAAAAATAATAATGTGGCCAAAATCACTGATTTAGCAAATTTCTTTCAAAAAGACAATTCTACATTTTAAATAGTTACCTGCAGCAAATACGTTACATATGGGTGTTTCCATACAGCCGTACGCGACATTCGTACGCTTATAGAGTAATGTAAATCTATCAAAAATAGAAGTTACAGAAAAAAAAGATTACGGTTCTGTTGCACCAAAGGGTACTATGTTTGAGAAAAAAATAAGCAGCCTCGAAACTTTGGTGTGGAAAATATCCGTTCAAAACTAGGTGATAACGTACGCGACAAAAAAAGAAGTGGTTTTAAGGCACATATACATATATGCGAAAGTCTGCGAATCATGAGAGTTTTTCTTTTCTTTAATAATTCCTAAACTAAGCTAAATAATGTACCTTTACAATCCTTCCATTTTTTGATAAAAATTATCTCTGGTTAGTTTTTATTAAAAAAAAATTATAATAACGTACGCGACATAACGTACGCGACAGATTTTTCCCCCATACAATATTTTTACTAGTAACACATACTAAATTAAATTTTTTCAGTTCTTCTCTCCACCGTTTCGCGTTTTCAAAACCTTTTTCGGCCATCTGAATACGAAATTTAAAGTTATAAAGCCGTTTGAATTCATTTGCTTGCATTTTCGGTTTACATTTTCATGGAAACACGCATATATGCGAAAGCGGGCGAATCATGGGAGTTTTTTCTTTTCTTTAAAAATTCCTAAACTAAGCTAAATAATGTACCTTTACAATCCTTTTATATTTTAAGAGAAATTATCTGAGGCTAGTTTTATATTAAAAAAAAACAATAACGTACGCGACATAACGTACGCGACAATTTTTCTCGTAAGTAATAAAATGTATTTATTGAGAACTCTTCTCGCCACCGTTTCATTGTTTTACAACTATTCTAAATAATTGAAATGGAAAATTTGCAATTAACATTGGTTTTGATGTATTTGATTGAAATTTTCGTACTTAAAATAACGTATGCGACAAACTTTAAAGTGTAATAAAATATATTTTTACTTCGGTTGGAAAGAAAATTTTACTGTATATCTTTAACTAGAAGAATTCTCGCTTAAGAATTGTAATCTGCATTACCTGCGACTGCCAATATACAAATGACATAGACAAACAATGTTTTTGCATAACGTACGCGACATTAGAATACTATCAGAAGCAAATCAAAAAATTACCGTTATTCGAGCTCTAACTTCTCCTTTTTCTCATTTTTATAGTTAGTTGTTATTGCAAATTTGATTTTAAGATGTAATTGTAATGTTTCAAATCTCTTAATTTAGTTAATAGGAAAGAGAAAATAGTTCATTTCATTAGAGAAAACTGAGTCGAAGAGACATTCAGTTTTACTCTTACATTTTTTGAGTTTTAAAATTCCAATAAGCTGAAATACTTCTATAATATAAAAATTCGAGTATTTTTCTCTTATTAATTCGTCTTAAGCACCCTTTTCAGTTGTTTTTATTTTTTCAGTCCTGGTTGACATTTTCATGGAAACACCCATTTGTTATATGTATCATGATACAAAAAAGAAGGTAATTTCATTGTCACTTTTTCGACGCCATATTAAGAACCTGACAATTAAGTAGATTGTGACATTTCGTGCTACCATATCCAATATCTAAAAACCTCCAAATTTTGTTATTAATTTTTCGGTTATTTACAAACATTTTGTTCTTAGAATCGAAATTTGAACAAGCAAAAGGTATATTGTTGGGTACGACTCGGTTACTTGTACAATAATTTTGGGTTAATGTGTCCAAATGGTTAACCCAAAGCAAAAAATTTTGCCACATGTGGTCAAACAATTACACGTTAGTTTAAAATAAAGATTTCTAAATTTCGGTTACAAATTATTAAAAAATACTGTGGTAGCGTGGCAGCGTAGCCGGAGTTGGACTTACATTTTCTCTGTCAAAATTCTAATTTTACCCAATTTTTTAATGGTTCCGTCTCCGCTTGCCACCCCAAAACCATTGAACAAATAACCGAACATTTCTCCTTTTGTTTTTGAACGAGAAGAGGTCTAATGCTCAATAAGTTGATATCTGTGTTTCTAGTTTTCATACTAACAATGGGTGTGTTCAGAAATGCATCAAGCCAAAGCATCAAACGCATTTATTTCTAAACTATTATTTATAGAAATGTGTTATTTACGCAACTAGGGTCCAATTAGGCATTTAACTGTGGTTGCGCATATTGGACATTTCCATCAATTATAGTTTAGATATAAATGCATTTGATGCTTTGGCTTCATGCATTTCTGAACACACCCTATAAGTCATAAATTTTGTTTCACACCCCCTCCAATATTGAACAGTAAAATATATTTGTTTTTACCCACAGAGACAACGATATTGTCGAAATATATTAGAATTAGATAATACTTACTTCTCTGAAAGCCATGAGGTCCATGGGCCCCAAAGAAAATTCCGTTTTCAAGTTACTTGAAAGACATTGACAAAGAAAATATCGAAATTG